TCTCTAAAAATATTTCATCCATCACTGGAAATGCAGAAAACATGTTACAGAAAACATCCACAAAATATGAATTTATATCGAACAAACAATTTGAAATATGTCTTCAACTTTCGCGAGAAGAGAATTGTCAATTTTAAAATTTTTCCCAATTATCCCCGCGAAAAATTCTGCATTGCGTCAAATCATCAGAGATGCACAAATTAGCGCACATTTAAATAATAAATTTGAAAGTTTTATCCAAGCGCCTCTAAAATTATTAAAACCTGTCAAAATGACACGTTTCTTCTCCATAACTTTATTTTGATTTTTTAAATTCTGCTCGTAACAAACTCAACAATATTAATAAAAATATAATGTACAACCACATCTTGAACAAGATAATAATATTAAAATAAAATGCATCGATACACGATAAATAAAATAAATAATTACTTAAACGTATATAGACGTATATTTTTTTATATTTTTGCTCACGTCATGAACATTTAAAGGATTTAAACAAATAAAAGGAATATCGACGAATAGTTTGAGGGAGGAAAACGATTCCCAATTGATCAACGAACGAAATGCAAAATGCAAGAGGATACGAATGGTATAATCCTCGACGTAACTAAAGCAATTAATCTCTCCGTATTATAAATATTATTCCTCGAAACGCCAATGAAAATTATTCCCTCGAGGGTGGTGTCAGAACAATTTCATTCTCTATTATTGTTATTGTTATTTCACGATCGCGTCGGGCGTGCTCCCTCCTGTTTGATAACGCGATACAGCTGTTTTCGTAATTCCCGAGCTTTACGCCCCAATAATTTCCCGACTGTGGGTGGTTGCGTCGAGGGATATTGGGGGTGGTGGATCGGAAGAGGAAATTAAACGATAACTAAGCTGGAAGATCGGCGGATAAAGAATAAAATAACAATTTTCCTTTCACCTTTTTATTTATTTAATTCGAAATTTTTTTTCGCCCAACGAGAGATGAAGAAATAATTGGTTTATTCTACTATATTGTTTATTCTCGCGTGGGCCATCTTCTTGAAATAATAACGAAATGAATTTTGAGGTGACGATAAAGTGTATCGTCGATCGGTTACTTGTGTGGTTATCATTGACTTATACTACTTGATCATCACCATTTATAAAATAGTTATCTTTTTATTGGTTTATTCCACTTATTTATCCTATTCATCATGGAATTGTATCATCTTATCTCATCTTTTATGGCTTATTGTCTGAATATATTATCAGGTTATACTTATATCATTATATTAAGCCATTTCTGATTATGATTACTTTTGCTCATACTTTTGTATTACTTGACAGGTATTATTACCGAGCTGATATATATAAATATGAGATGATATATAAATATGATTGACTTGTACTACTTTTTTGTATCACTTACTGACTCGTAGCAACATTAAAAGAGAAAAAAATAAAGGAAGAGAGAAAATTTGTAAAACAAACTTACTAATCACTTTTTATTGTTGGATTAAAAAAAAGAAGAAAAAAAAAAAAAGGTCGAATCGATTATCGACGACAAGTGTCCTTCGCTTCTGAATTTCCTAATTAAATCAGGTGTCGGGCAAACTTCGCCGGAAAGAAAGAAGTTAAAGAGATCTCGAACGAACGAGGACCAAAAAAGAAAGAAAAAAGTGGGGAGGAGGAAGGAAAAGAAATAACGTGTCAGACGTAACGCGATTAGGGGTAGACGAGACGCTTTCGAAGTGAAAATCCAATTCGAAACTTTTGTGATCCCCTCGACAGGTAATAGAGCGTACGTATCGTTCAACCCTACCGGAAATCCTGTTTCCACCGAATCTTGCGACCTCTCCGTGAAAATTTTGTTCTCTGCTTAGATCTGCTTTATTCACGCCCCTTCGTTCATGATATATTTTTATCTCGCATACTTTGTTTTTTTTTTTTAATATTTTTATACCTCTCTTTCTATCCAAATAAATGCGTCTCTTATTTTTAACTTTGGAATATATTTTTCTTCGAAATTCCAAGATCGTAAGTGATATTTAAATAACACTCTATTTATTTAGCATCATAAATTAGAATCAATTATTGATTATCACGATCTTATCACTTATCATTTATAATTTCGTTAAAAAAATCTGAAAGAATGATATTGGATCACGTGGAAACGCATGGTTTATATCCATTTTCTTTGGTTGTCTAACAACAAGAAGAGAATTTTTCCTAAGAAAATAAAATAGTTTATTCGTGTCGAGCTCATTTTCCACGTTTCTTAAGCTTGTTATTTCCACCCCTTGCATCGAATTTCCACTCGTTTCGACGGTGTATAAACGAGGCTGGATTTTTCACTCTCAACCAGCCGAGGATCGATCCTTCGACGACACGATTATTGCGCCATCGATGTCTCGTCCCTTCTCGGATAGAAAAATCGCTTGGACGAGTGGCAAGTTGTTTGGAAGAGGTTGTGGAAGAAGGATTTTTGGAGGAAGATAAATTTTCTAGATGTGGCATTTTTTCTTGTGCTCTGTTTTTTTTAAGAGGCATCTTTTGGGAATGGTAAGTAATTTGAAAAGATAATTTTGCAAAAGTGAATATATATGCATATATTTTATATTTGGATATTTTTTTGTTGTATAACTTCTGTATTAATTATTTATATTTATAATATTCTTTTACATTTCGAAGCTTGCGATCACAAAGAATCTTCTTTTTTTTTTTTTATTTTTCTGGATTCATTAAAAATAATTTTTCTTAAATATTCGTCGAAATTTATTGATTATAGTTCCGAAGAGATTTCTTCAAGTTTCTCTTTGAAAAACTTTGAAATTTACACAATTTTCTTGTAAACTGATTTTGTAAAATTTCATTTTTTTAAATTTAAGAAAAATAAATTTACAACAAACAAAAGCATACCTTACCTCATTTTTTACCATACCTTTTCCTCATTTTTTCCATATTATTTCATTGTACCACACTTCATGTTAAACCATTTCATTCTTAGAAAATTTTCTTTCTGTTCGATTATTGTAAAAAACTTTTATTCAAACATCATCACCATCGTCAATTCTAAAGGAATAATAGAAAAATAAATTTAAAACAAAATATACAGTGATACAGTGATACAAATCAATATATATATACTTAGACAAGAATCACATCCTCATTTTTTATATCACACTTCACATCTTCAACGATCTCAATTCAAATTCTGAAGAGAAAATTTTCTTCCTCGTGTAAAAAATTTTCGATCGTCGAAAGCGATCCAGATATCAGACATCAAAGGTCAAATTCATCGCCATTAAAGTTACAAGCAGCGAAACGATGACTTCTTCTTTTTTTATACTTTGAAACCTATACCATTCAGCTCTACCATTCACCTTCTACAAGACGAGTTTTCAGGAATTTTTACGCGACTCTCGCCATTGTAAATTTTTATTCTTGTTTACGAGCTTTCGAAACGGCTGCCGGAAACAGTTCTCGAAGAAATAAAGAATTCACCGGATAGAACCATCGCGACTTTTTAAACCTTCTCTCTTTTCTGTGCACATTCTCATTTTTCTCTTCGTCTCTCCTTTGGCGAAATTGGTATTCGCCGACCTTTCCTCCGGGATTCGATTAAACGGATCCCTTTTGTCAATGAACTTTCCTTCTCTTAACGAGGTCTTTTACCTCTCCTTTTGTTTCGAAAACTTCTTCCCTTTCCCTATGGCCTACTTTTAATAAGTTTCTCATTTCGCTTGTTTCACTCAACGAGATAGGAGATTGGATTGTGCATTAAAGGTTAATTTAATTGGTTTGTTTTCCAACGATCCTTCCTCAGTTATGAAATTGCATTTTCTTTTTTATACAATTGTATTTGCTAGGTATTTGTTCGAGGTGAGAAAATCATTTGCATGATCCAGACGAGGGAAAAAATTTTAATTAAATTATGTTTATGAATTAGGATGTAATTGAATGAATATTTAAATATTGGAAATTATTTGGATATTGTAAGACAATATCTATGAAAATATATATAATATCGTTTTTTATATCTTATATTTCATGTGTATATTTATTAATAAATGGCAATTGTATATAAGTAATAAGTAGAATTAAGAAAATTATTCTTTTAACATAAAATTTATTCAAAGTTTTAGCACTCAAAAATTTGTATAAAAATTTCACATGCCACTTCCTTATTTATCTATTCTAATACAAAGTCGAAATTTTTCACAAGTTTAAAAATTCGATTTAGAATATAATTTAATAGGAGATTACACGTGAAATTTTTCTAGAAATTTCGAGACAGAAATTTTTCAGTTTTGTATTAGGAGAATATAATTTTAAAAAAATGGCACATGGATTTTTTGAAATTGAATGTGCCACTACTTACCTTTATACTTTACCTTTTAATTCTGATAATTATCAATTAATCATTTTTTAATCAGTTTACTTAATTCTAATTATAAAATTCGATATCTTTTTAAAATAATATACTTTTACTTATCTCTTCAAAAATCATATTTTCAAAAACGTATGATATTTTTAAAAACCTATAAAAAATATATATACATGTAAATTATATAGATAAACAAAAATATAAGAATCTAAAAGAATAAGAATACAAAAATACTTCTATTCTAAATTTCCTGTATAACAAAACAATCATTTGTCAAGTAGTACAAGTCAGTCAAATAAGAAACAAATAAAATAAACGAAAATTAACGCTCAAAATTTCGTAAATATTCATAACGATCGTGTTCGCAATCATCTCGAGAAACATGAATCATCATCATTCACGATTTCGTAATTAAAATGTCCATTCAATCGTCCTGTTTCAGAGGCCTGGAGCACGATGACGTATTGTTGCCAGCAGGACGGTTGCAACTCGGCCCCATCGTTCGTGTCCAGCAACAGCCTCGCGATCGTCGCGATCACGATGGTGCTCCTCCTTGTGCTTCGTGGCTAATACGTCGTTTCCAGCGACCAGGTGACCGCGAATGGAAGCTACGGGATCCCTTCGACATCACCGCGCTAACCATCGATTATTGTCCTGGCCTTTATCTTGCTGATTGGACGCTGACCAGTCGATAGTTGTCGAACAATTTTGATCGAATATCTATGAAATTTTCATCCTTCAATCGATCTTCCATACGCTCCATCATTCTCATTGATTCTTTGGTTTGAATAATTCTTTTTGGTTTGATGAAAAAGTATGTGATTCTCATCGATTTCTATATTTTCTTTTTATTTACCTTTTTATTATTCTTTTATTTGCATCGACGTTTATATTTCTCTTCTTTTTTTTCTGGGTTAATGAAGAAGCCATTTGCGATTCTATTCTTCTTGTGAAACGGGTATAAATTAAACGGGAAGTTTAATCGGTGATTCAAGTTTCTTAATTTCACTTTAGTTTCCAGCGAAACGCTCTCTGGAGAATTTTATTCGATTTAATTTTTGTGTAAAGAAATTCCGTTCTATATTCGTATAGGAAAGTTTCTTAAGTTGTTTAACTCGTTTCCCCTCTCTCGTTAAATGTAAAACATTTGAGGAAATTAGGAACATCCGTGAGAAAGGTTGAGCTCCTGATAAAATTCAATCTTTGTTCTTCGAGAGATAAAAATATTCATTCCTTTTCTCGATTGAAATATTTTTTCAATTGGATAATTTAAATTTTGTACAAATATATTCTATTAACTTTTTCCAATTTTTTTTTTTTATCTAAAGAAAACAATTTTTCTATGATAATTTTTCTATCAACTTTACACTTTGAACAATCTCATGATTCCATGAAAGACTTTCTTATGGATTCTTTTTATGACATTTCATACATTCGAAGAAGATCGAATTCTTTTCACAGTTGAATTTCCATCGGTCAGCTTCCTTTTATTCGAAGCTGACACTCGCCTCTTGAGCGACCCTCGAATTCGATTTATTCGAGAACTGGTTCACCGATTCTTCCACCTCTTTTCTTCAGTTCATACCACTGCATGCAGCCATGAGTGCTCGGTCTAACAAGAGCTGGAAAAGGGGGATTCTCGATGACACGTTCTCCAGTCACGCTTCGAACAGAGACGAAATGGAATTCTTCGAGGCTTGAAAAATGTTATTTCGATGATTCATTCGTATTACTTTCCGTATATAATCTTTTATCATATATATTTAATTTCTTGTGTATCGATTTAATCCGAAGAAATTTCTCATAATGGACGCATTACGATATTATATGATCCTGAAAATTATATTTGGATTATTATTTTATAATAATAATTAATAATTAATTGAATATTCATTAAGTCTAAATATTAATTCAATTGATTAATTCAATTGATTAGATTCATCGAATGTTGATATGAAATAATTGTTATAATTTTTCGTTATTCTTTGTTATATGTAATTTGAAAAGATTGAAATTTATTTATTCAATGATACCATTAGATTAATCTGTCTACTCACCATATACTTTATTTCTTTTTGCGTTTTGGTTTTGCTTCAGAAACCTCTCAGCTTCATTCACAATGATCGATTTTCGATTCCTTCTCCCTCCTTCTATCGGTTTCCCATTTAGTTCTTCGACTTTTTCCATCCCATTTTCCCAAGTTTATTCTCCTCTATTTTCCTTCCATGACAACATTTGCCACATATTGCATTGGATCTCTCTTCAAAATACTTCAAAACTTATTCCTGTAATATTCAAACACAACAAAAAAAAATAAAAACGTGTATTATAATTCTAATATATTTTCGAAAAGAATCGAAGAAAAATATAAAATATAAAATGAGAGAAAAAAAAAAGAGAAATAGACAACTATCGATTCATTATCAATTCCAATTGAGCAAGAATTGGCCACCGCGATCGCGAGAAATAGAAAAAAAAAATTGGACCACAAAAAACCCGTGATAGCGGACGAGATAAAAGCGGAAGTACGGTGTAAAGCGTGCGAAAAGAGAAGGATTTCTCGATGGCTCGATTATTCGTGGTCAATTCGATATATTTCTAGTTCGTAAGATTCGTTCATGAAGGAGAAAAGAGGAAGGCAAAAAAAAAAAAAGAAAAAAGAATAAGGTAGTAATTTGGAAGAAATGGTAAAAGAGAAAAAAAAAAGAAAAAAAAAAATGGAAGAGAAAAAATGAAACCCGCGTGGATATACAAATATATATATATATATATTATGTAACCTACATACAGACAACAGTTTAATGAGGAACAGTGAGGATAATAATGATAACGTTATTATTATTATGATTACTATTATTACTATTATTATTATTGATTATTATTATTATGAATTATTATTATTACTATATTGCTACTAATTACTACTATTACCATTAACTATTATCATTACTAAAAGATTAACGACACTAAACTGGAAGTATTACACCGATTATACATAAACTTAATTATACATATATATACATAAATATATATATATATATTTATATATATACAGGAATATATATATAAACATATATGTATAAATATATATATATATATTATAAATATATATATAGTAGCGATAAAAGATCGATAGGCGTCGAAATCGAATGGAGAGTTTGTCGATTATTATTACTACCGTATTGTAACCGCTTGAAGTAGCCTTAATAATTGTAATTAACGAACGCACGCGTGAGATATTAAAAAAAAAAAACTGCGTATATCTTATTGGTTGATGTGAGGAGACTACGTATTACCTCGTTTTAATCTTGTTTTTTAAATATTCATTTTTTTCTTCCTCTTCTTTTTCAATGATTAAAAATATTGAAAGAAGTCATCAAGCAGAATTATAAACACTTCTACGAAGAATTTTATTAAATAACAATTTTTCTCTTGCACGGTTTTCTATTTCATACTGCTCGTATTGGTCAATTAAAAATCATTCGTCTTAGTCAATTACCACGAGTAGAAATTTACACGAGTTGAATTGCTACGAGAGATAAATTTAAATCGGACTTTTTAATCAAAATAAATAATTTTCCCAACTTTTTCTGGTTCATGAATTTTTCTCTTTTCTTCTTGTTTCTCCTTCGCTAAATCAAATAATGGAAAACAAGAATTAAATATTTATTAAACTTAATTTTTAACATTTTCGATTTTAGACAAATAATCGAGATCAAAACGAGAACATTCGTTCTCTCCTCAGGTTAACCAACATCTGAAATTCCTAAATTGTAGAATGATTCATCCTAGCCGGTAAGCGAGTCACAAATAGTAGAGATGATAATCTACTTTACCTGTTTCACGAATGAAAGCAATGAAAATAAAAAAAAAAAAAAAAAAAAAAAAAAAAA